TAGAAGTTATATCGTGTCATAGGTATATACTTAACACGAACTTAATATAACACAATTTATTAGATACAAATTAATAAACGAATTGAATATAAAAAAAATATTTTTTAATACGATTCCGTAAAGACATAACACAAATCAATCTCACCCAACACGATTGATATGCCTACGTATAACCACTCATCTCAAAATTAATCCAGTCCATTGGCTGATAATTTTTCACAATTTTGGGTAGGATCGAGGTAACTTGGGAATGCAAAGGTGTAGTAGAGGTGGGGGAGTGAATGCAAAGCTCGTGTAAATGTTGTGTATATGAATCAAATTTTCCATCGAAGTTTTTAAATCAGTTGATCGTTAATAAGGGTGTCTTAATATGATACGATTCGATGATACGAAATTAAAAAATTCTAGTTTTATTTAAGTCATTCGTTTTATAAATGAATAAATTCGAAACGACATGATTAATAAAAAAGTCGGTTATGACTAAAGTTAATCAAAAATAAATAAAAATTGTACAACTCATTTTATATGTCAATTATATAAGATTCATATACGATACGAACACTATATATATGCAACTAATCACTCTGTACTGGACCCAAAAATTGCGATAGTGATCCCCAAAGTATTATCTTCACCTTATTTTGGTCCCCCAACATTAGTTCCTAATGTATTCAAATTATTTTTAACGGTTTATTTGTTGTGAAATCAAATGATGACAATAAAGTGAAATTAATGAAAAAAATAATAAGAATGCAATCCAAACAATCATACAACACATAATTTACGTGGTTCGGTAATTTGTCTACGTCCACAACACTGCAAGAATTTCACTATTCTCAAGAAAGAATACAGAGAGGGAGGCGACAATCCAAAAATCCTAATAACCGAATAACAACTTATATATGTCCTGAGCACAGAGCTACAAAACGGGCTCAAACCTCTGCTCTATGGACTAAGTCTCAGAAAATTTCCATTAAAAAATTACGTAATATTTTTCGAGTCGAATTATCATCTGAATCGCACACAAACTAGACTCCACAAAAAAAACACAACATTCTCTACATGTGCTACGTGCCCAAAATGAAGAGCATATTGGACAAATCACCGTCCACTTCACCAAAAAAAAAGGTGTTGTTCATTCCCACCAAGATCCAACTACCTTAGGCTTGTGTCATTCCCTCCTTTCATTTGTAGGTGATGAGTAACAAGAGGAGAACAATACAAGAGTGGGAATTTACAATCTTCTTGCACTGATAGTAGGGAATAAATGACCCCTACTTGTATTGTCCCCATATGCAACTAATAAGAGGGCATTAACATAAACCTCACGACAGTTGGACCTAAGCAAGAATATTTCTCTCTAGGAACTACACTTTATCCAATATACCCTTCATTTAGGGGCACGTGACTTGCATATGGGGAGAAAACTGTTAAAGATTTTGACAACATGGGTGAGGACTACTCAAAATAAATTGAATAATTTAGGAACTAATGTGATACTATTATAAAGTTAGGGGACCAAAATGAGATGGAGAGTATATTTTGAGGACAATTGCCACAATATGAGTCATCATAATCCCACCACCCTTACCGCCACCCCTACCCCTACCCCTACCCCTACCCCTTACCCTTATTGCAACCACATCCCCACCCTCCCCAGACTTCAATATTATTGAAAAATTACTTATTAGTAATCTAAATTAAAGAGGAAGACAAATTTGAATTTAAAGTAGTTTTTTTTTTTTTTGGAGTGATTATATAAGCCACAAGAAATGATTTTATTTGATGAGATCAATGTGTTGTTATTAAATAATTTAATGTTATAAAATATGTTACTTGAGAAAAAGTAAGTAAGAGTAGTGGGGAGTTTGAATAAGACTTGAGAGTTTAATCAGACAAAGTTTATGAGAAAGTTGAAAATGATAAAGAGAGGGAGAGAGAGGACCATGTGTAAATCAAAATGAATTTAAGTAACCAAAAATTCTAAAAAAGCAGTATCTTAGATTTAAAGCTCATATATCTAACTACATTTAAATAGGACATAAAGATTACATTGAGTCGCAACAAGTAGGTCTATTTATCGTGTTAGATGAGACGGCTTCATGTTGGATCTTAACGGATTCGTGTCAAAAAATTTTATACTCATACTCGATTCGTTTATTAATTCGTGTCTATCGGATTTGTGTCGTGTATAACAGATATATAAACAAGTCATATCGTATATTATTTTTTGAGTTGCTTCACAAATACTTGATTTTTTTATTAATCTTGTCGTGTTAAATTTATTCATTTAGTACACGAGTGATTAAGGAAGACTTGAACCCTCTAACTCTTAGTCCTATTAATACGGGTTCTGATATATCTTGACCCACAATTCCCATCAATAAACAAACATAATTGTCATTCCCACTTTAAGTAAGATTATCCTCTCTCAGTCCATACATTTTCTTTGTTTTTGCCGCTAGTGAGACCACAAGGACACCAGCAACCAAGCACTGTCTAAAACACCAAAACGGTGTCTCTCCAGTCCAGTCCACAGACTCTAAACGTGCTTTTGAACCCTCTCCATAACCATCCACCTCTCTCTTGCTTCGTCTCTTTCAAGCTATTTTTTGGAGCCAACCCATTCCAGTCTGTACACCAAAAAAACTAAAATCCAAATCCAAAAGTGGAAAAATCGGTGGAGCTGATGAGAGAAATTGGAAGAAGCAGAGAAAAAACCAACAGTTTTTTTTTTTGTTTCCTCAAAGTGTTTTTCTATTTTTTCATGATTGGATTTGGAATGGCATAGAGATTAGTGCATAGCCATGTGATTGGTAGGTGTACAGGGATGGGAAGCCAAACCTTTTCGACAATCATTCTTTCTTCTTTCTCTCACCTTTCCCCCCATTAAAACTCCTCCCCCTCCCCGGTTCATCTTCTCCTCGTCGCCTCCCCCCCCCCTCTCTCTCTCTCTCTACACAGAAGTTTAAGGAGATCTGTTAAATCAACTTTGTTCAGTACTGCACAATTCAAGTTTGTTTGTCAGAGTGAAGGCCAAGGACTAATTCAGCTTCATATTGAGGTACTGTATCTATATGCATATATAATTCTATTCAACTTTTGTATTTGTTGTGTCTGTCATACGAAAGTGAAGAACTTGAAGTTTGATTATGTTCATTTTTAGAGACTTTTAAAAGTTCTGTTTGTCCCATCAAATTTTTTTTTCTCCCAAAACTCTGAAGATCTTTTGTTGCTTGCTTTTGATGATTTAATGTAGTTTGTTGTACTGAATTTTCTTCAGTAATTGTTTTTAATCGTTTGTTCACATGGTTCTAGTTTGTAAAAAGGTGTTTGCCCTGTCACCCACCATCACTCTCACGACAGCAAACCTATGGTCTACATGTTGATGTGCTTTAATTAACCAACTACCCAGACATTGCCTTAGTGTGGCTTCTTCCTTTATGGGTTTTAATCAGTTTTTCAAATTAACAGGTATTCGTGTATTTTAGAGCACTTAAGAGTAATTTTTTCCAGTTACATGCAATTTCTTTATCTCACATCCTCCTAACAATTACCTCGACAAACTTGGGAGTAATCTTAAGAAAAAAATTAAACTTAAGATCTCAAGAAAACTTGAACTTAAGACCTCTAGTTTCGTAAACATGTGCTCCGGGTGAACTTATTTATCTATAGGGGTAGACATTTACGTGTTCTGTTAGCTTGTTTTGACAGTAACGTAAAAATGTCCCGACTTGACGAAACTACCCTTAGAAATGTGAGGTGTTAAGAGTTCTTCAAGTGAACAAAACCACAAACTAACATATATTTGTTCAGTTTGGGTGTTTGAGATGTCTTAAATGCCCTTGATTCTGCCTTTATTGACTCTTATACAATCTTCTCTATAGTGAGGTTATTGTCAAATCATGAATAACAGTGACAAAAGATCACTCTCTTTCACGCCTTCTAAGTCAAGCTCTTTTCGGTTGTATGTCCCACCGTGCAAGTTTGTGTATGTGAATATAGGTGTTGGATCTCATTTCTTTGGTCCGTCAACACAACCTTATCAATGATGCTGAAATTATTTTGGGGCTTTTTAAGTTGTTGGCAACCCTATTCCCTATTGGTCCATGGGTCCAAAGTGGTGTTTGAATCTTATCCATGGAAAAATAGTTAGAGTTTTAGCAAAATAATTGTAATACATGTCTCTTAGGGGTTGTCCAACGATTAAGTTTTTCCTCTTGCAAGTAATATGTCTTAAGTTTGATACTTCTCGGACCTTCTAAAGATTATTCATCTTTGTTCCTCAAAAAATATGTACTTAAATTAATTTGAATTATAGTTATCGATTCAAAACTCTAGAAAATAGTCGGCACAAATTTAAATAATCTGTAAAAAAATATTGCAATACTTTTTAGTTAAGCATTGGCAACTTGGCATTATTGATATCTTAAGGAACAGTAATGCTATGCTGATTAAATTTTGGGATTAAATTTGAAGCTCAAATGACTTGACAACATATTATTTAGAGTTTTTATTGAGACCCAAATGACATGACACCAAATAAAATAATCAAGTCAGCTGTCATGTCATTTGAACTCCAAATTTAATTTCAAAATTTGGTATTAATAATAGAAGACGCTAATCTCTCGAGCGTAGTTTAATGTACGAGATTCTGATCATGTGATCTAACATTGTTTAGATTTTAAGTTGTAACGTGAGATATAAAAAGACTGTTTTTATAGTTGGAATCTTTATCATAATCATTTGTTTATGAGCAATGCTACATGGACTTAAAAAGTAGACTTAAAAAATAGACTTGATAATCTTAACCATTGATTTTACTGTGGGTCCCAGCATTTATTAAGATTCACTACCTATTCAATGGTTGAGATTATCAAGTCTAAGTTTTAAATCTACTTTTTAAGTTCATATAACATTACTCTTTGTTTATTGGATGCATATATATATATATATATATATAAATATTATGATTGGGTGTATGTAAACCCCATGCAGAGATGGAACCATCAAGCCATGCACACAAGAACTCGTCAGTCATGCCACCTCTACCCAAAGACTCGCGTGGCTCGCTCGAAGTGTTCAATCCATCAACCCACTCCGCCAGACCAGGCTTTGTTCGCCCCCAACCCTCTTGGCAAAGCTGGGTAGAGCCCACCACCCATCCCGAGCCGGAGCTCGCCACTTTCTCATCCAAGTCCGGCAGGTCAAACGCCGGCGAAATCACGTCATGGATGGCTCTCAAGGACCCCACTCCACCATCACCACCACCGTCGCAACATCAACAGCGCCAGTCATCACCAGTCACCCATAAGAGCTTACAGGCAATCATCAACGACCAGGACGGGAAAAAGTCGCCGGCGAAGTCTCAGCCACCGGGGGAAGCTGGTGTCGCAGCACAAAGAGCGGCGGAGTGGGGATTGGTGCTGAAGACAGACACCGAGACTGGTAAACCACAAGGGGTCAAAGTAAGAACGTCCGCCGAAGAACAGAATAATAAGCATGGGAGTTCTCGGAAGGACTCCGGTAATTCAGTGCGAAGCTCCGGTGAATTCTCAGATGATGGAGCAGGTAAGTGCACTGACAAATTTGGGAGGAGAAAAAATATTCCAGGAAAAAAACATAATTTTCAAGAATTAATGGGCTGAAAATTTTACAAATTTGGTTATCAATCAAGAAATTTTGTTACTATTCAGGTAAGGAGAGGGGGTTTCCAAGGGTGTCTGAGGACTTGAAGGATGCATTATCGGCATTTCAACAAACTTTTGTGGTCTCCGACGCCACAAAACCCGATTTTCCGATCATGTATGCAAGTGCTGGCTTCTTCAAGATGACTGGTTACACATCAAGGGAGGTTATAGGCAGAAATTGGTACGACAAACCTTTTGTTTAGTTCTTTATTACTGTTATTACTAATTATCGATTCGTATCACGATTTGAATTTGAATTAGTTTCTTTTTATCAGTAAAAATTATTAATCTATACCATACCCAACTAGTTAAATTTGGAAACGGATAAAAATCGGACAAGATTGTATTTGATACATTTTTGTTGGGTCGGGTCCAGCCGGTTCTTACAGGGTGCAGGTACAGATCCGGAAGATGTGGCAAAGATCAGAGAAACGTTACAGGCAGGGGTTAGTTATTGTGGGAGATTGCTGAACTACAAGAAGGATGGAACACCTTTCTGGAACCTCCTCACCATTTCACCGATCAAGGATGAAACGGGAAAAGTTCTCAAATTCATCGGGTGAGTTTATTTTAATTCAAAATTTCATTCCCGTATAGAAAACCCACATCGATACTCAAGTATCCCAACCCGAGAGAACAGTGTAGGAACCAAATCTTTCATGTTGAAATCTTTCCGGGTATTCATATAACTATATGATTTACGAGTGAGTGATTATATACGTGGTATGTCTTACTTATTCCTTCTCCAAACTCCAAATATTAATTTGGTAGTTAAGTTAATACAAGACATACTAGGGTATTATAGTAATTTGAATTCCAACGGTTTGTTTAAATCAATATTGGCAGTAAGAGACTTAACTCTAAGGGGTTAATTAAGTGATAACAGGAATGAGTTATAAATTTAGACGTCTTGAATTTAAATTTTGACAATTTATTGGGGTCAAATTATAAGAAATTTATCTCTTATGAATACTCTAGTTTTAGTGTAGATAGTCAGTCTTTGATCGAATAAAAAAAAAAATTAATTGAACTGCACGTAAATTGACGTATACATATTTAACTATTAAAAAAAACTTATATTAGAACTTCAGGATAGGTACATTTATTCCAACCATGGTAGATGGTCCCACCACATGGCATTGCATAGAGTATAGATTATCAACAGGAAATCTATTGGATATAAGGGCTAAAGTGTGCTCCATTTCCAGTTGTATAATTTTTATGGGTCCCCAAACACTCTGTCAATGTCCTATCACACCACATGAAACAGGAAGCGCCTCGTCTGGTTCCGTATCACTCCAATAATTTTTACTTTAATTTTCTCCCATCTGGGTTGTCCTCATCCCGGTTCCAATGCCCTCAAGTTGGAGTAAATATTAGGTCTAATGGTTATATCTTGTTTACTATTATCACGTGATATAATTTGTACAAAGATATTGAATAGATTGTTGATGTATCAGACTCGACCCTATCTTTCGTAGCATGCATTCTTATTCGTATTGCCACTAATTTGGTAAATTACGTGTTCAGTGTACAGAAAATTACCTTCAATCTCCCAAATTGATTTACTCGTGACAACCTTTTGGCCGCCCAAAGACCTATATTATTAGTCACACACTAGGGCTAAGAAGTAAGCCCCACAACCCAAAGCGATTTATTCAAACTCAACGATTAACCACCCTTATACGTAAGATAATAATTATCATATATTCAAAAAATAGAGTTCATTTGTCCATTTGTTTGTTTGTTATTGCTCAGTTACACAACGCGACAATACTGACGTGGTGTAACTGTTACACCCAATATTTACTTAGTTGATTGACAAATTCACCCCCCCCTACTCAATTTCAATCGATAATGATGAGATGCACGTGTTAGGCTCTTGTCTAATTTTGCAAGAATAGAAAATTTCTCTAATTTTTGTTTAAACGGGTAAGATTTGTAAACCGTAAGAGATTTGGTTTAATTTGAATTTCAAAAATTTAAAACATTATTTGAATCAATTTAAATTTATTTATGTATATAGAACTTAATCATTCAAAAAGAATTAAAAAATCTTTCAATTGTTATGAAATTAGAGAAGAGCCGAACCCGAGATGTACGGGTGAGGCCCACAAATGGTGGGCGATGGAAATGAGGAAAAAAAAAAGGAAAAATCTTGGAATCGAGAGGGTTAAAATTCCCTTCACAACATACTCATTTGCTAGCTAGACTGGTTCATATAATAGAACAGAAAAAGTGACCCATTTCTGATTGGACTGTTTGTCACCGTCTGATTATGCTAAATCATTGGTTTAACCAATTCAAGAGAATAGGATCTACAAGTAGTCCCATCCTATCCCATTTCAATTATTCCAACTTTTCCTTTGCCAGCTTGGGCCACTCACATATTTTGGGCATTTTGCTAGATTCAATGCTCGACAGTGATGGATTGTGGACCTCTGCATTGGGTTTGGTTTTGATCCGGTCCTATGGTCCATGACCAGATCATTCATTTTCTGAAAACCTTTTTCATATGTTATGCTTTATTGGTTTGTAATAGAAATCTATTGGGATCACTAAACAGTAAACATAAAATAAATAAATAAATAAAAGAAATGAAAACCGAACTACTCCCACTTTGAGAGAATATTATTTTTTGATCAAAGATGATAATCGAATCGAATTTTGTGAGTTCAAACCGAGTCTCTCGAGTTCATTTTTTTAAACAATCCTAAAAAATTGTTAAAACTCATATCGTTTTAAAAAATGAGCCGAATCTGAGGCGAGCCTGAAACAAGTTGAACTCGAGTTAAACTCGAATAGCTTGATTATTTGACATATAAACGAGTCAAATTTTGCAAGAATAAACCGAGCCTTTTTAGACTTGTTTTCTAAGTGAGTCTAAAAAATTATTTAAGTTTGACTCGTTTAAAATACGAGCCGAATTTGGAACGAGCCCGAATAATTTGGCTCAATTATCAGCTCTATTACTAATATATAACTTGGTGCAAAAGTACATAATTTAGATTGTATATATATGTGTGTATATATATCCGAAGAAATGATATATGCCTATTTTTTGAATGACCCATTTGGTATGCTTGAGTTGAGAAATTAATCGGGAATAAAATTATCTATCATTTATCGCTTCCGAATAGTTAAACTTGAATATATATATATAGTATATAGTATTCCCATGCATTTGGTACGACCTTAAAGTAAAAATGCATAGTATAAGGGTGGAGTTTTTATATGATTTCTTTGCTTTGCTTTGCGTTGGCAGAATGCAAGTGGAGGTTAGCAAGCATACAGAGGGCTCTAAGGAGCAGATGCTTCGTCCCAATGGCCTGCCTGAATCTCTGATCCGATATGATGGTTTTGCACATTTTACATACACTTCAACTAATTTTCCCTCCATTAAATTAAAAGCAGATAATTCACGTCAGGATTAAGATATTTGTAATGGATAAATCAAATCAAGGAATTATACTAAATTGTTTGCACCATTTTTTTCTGCGCGTTTTATATCATAGAAAATATTATTTACACCTAATTTGATGATTTAATTTAAGAATCTAATATATTATATTGAAAAAATAAATCAAAAAAAAAAAATTTACAGTGATATTTTGCTATACCAAGAGCTACATTTTTTGCAGCCCGGCAGAAGGAAAAAGCCACCAATTCAGTAACGGAGCTACTGGAAGCAGTGAAGCAACCACCACGGGCGAGAGCTGTCAGTGAGTCGACCTATCGTCCATTAATTAGGAAATCGGAAAGTGGTACTGAACCAGAGAGGTCCGAAGCTTCTGGCCGGCGAAACTCGGAGACTATGGTTCCGGCTAGACGTAATTCAGTTGGTGGCACTAGAACCACAATGCAGCGAATCAGTGAACTGCCCGAAAAGAAACAGAGAAAAACTGGTCGTCGTTCTTTCATGGGGTACTCATTTTTATCCATAACCTTTTCGTGGTTCAGTTGATGTATTAGATTGTTTTCATGGGTTGGTATATGTATTTGGAAAATGCTATTTGAACCTAAAAATATGACATAATTTGTTGACATAATGACGTAGTTTTATTGAAATCATTGAATTAACACTAAATTTCAATGTTTGATGGAGTCTACAGTTAATTCAAAGATTATAGTGAATTATGTCAGTAAATTAAGTCTAATAACATTATTTAATATATTTTGTTTGCATGCATGGACGTGCATTATTCTATGTATTTTGTTTGCATGCATGGACGTGTACTGTGTGTGGTTCACGTCACTTTGTGAATACTTTATGTCTGTCAAAATGTGTGATGTCTTTTTTTTTTTTTAACTGCATGTTCTACGGTATCAAAAACAAAAAAAAAAAAATAGTATTGTACTGTCATTTATAATTTTTGTTAGTTTTTTTATCCACCAAATATATATATATATATATATATATATATATATGTATATAATTTTTATTTTTTTTTTGTAAAATGACCACAAAAATTATAAAAACACCCATTAAAATTATAAAATTTAGAACAAGGTACCCAAATTTTGTTTTTGGTAGCATAGTCTTCTCCCATGTTCTTATGTGGGATTCCAAACAACAACTCAATGTGTGACAATGGTTTTGTACTTTTTATTATTTTAAATTTCATCCCAAGATCCAAAGGAAAATTTATTTTTATGGATAAATAAAATTGAAGAGAAGAACCACCTGCATTTATTTTTACTTGGCAGTTCCTTGCTAATGGGAAAAAAAAATGCAAAAATCATGTTTTGCAGTAGTATTTTGTATATGTTTATGGATTATAGTGGTATTATTTTGTTGCCATAGGTTTATGAAGAAAAGTCGTCCTAATACTGAAGAAGACGAGTTTGAACTTGGAGTTACTGTTAATGATGATGATGAAAGTGACGATGAGGAGAGGGATGATGAGCGTCCCGATAGTGTTGAGGACAAAGTAAGGCGGAAGGAAATGAGAAAGGGTATTGATCTTGCTACAACACTAGAACGTATAGAGAAAAACTTTGTCATCACTGATCCAAGGCTGCCTGATAATCCCATTGTAAGACTCCTTAGTTTGTTGCCTAACAATAAAGGTGTATTGATCTTGGGATCTTTTCAGCTTATACAAAGATGTTAACTCCTTGTTTGATTAATCTTATGGCTGAACTTTTTAGATATTTGCATCCGATAGCTTCTTGGAGCTGACAGAGTACAGTCGTGAAGAAATCTTGGGAAGAAACTGTCGGTAAGGATTGAAATTTTGATACTTTAAAAATCTTATTATAGCATGGTCTCATAGAAATGGATGTTTTTAATCAATTCCCTTGTGTTGACAGAGGGAATTGATTAAATTTTCCTTTAATGGAATAGATGGATAACAAACTTGATCTAACTGTGGCGCTGTGCCATCAAATGGTAGTGAATAAGTTTATGCATTTGGTTCTATATGGTATGCATACTAGAGATGATAACGAACAACTCATTAAAGTTTGCTTTTTCTTTTTTCATTTCCTTATTTGATAAATGATCAGGGTTGAAGTATAATAAGCCATAGGTAAAGATACTATACTTTTGGAAGGTTAACATTCAAAAACTGATGTTTCTCTCACACACAAGGATGCAAGTAAGGTTGAATCCTGATTTTTGAGAAAAAAGAGATGCGACAAGATGAATTCTTGCATATTTTGGAAAATATGGGGGATTCTGAAACTTCCGGAGGTGGGGGAATAGAAAATAGTAATACATTGGGGAGTCCATTGAGAATTACACAAAAATTGAGGGATGGCAATTTTAATTTTTGAAAGCAAGGGGGCATCCCCCCCCCCCCCCCCCCCCCCCCCCCCCCCCCGCGGTGCTTGTACCATTCCCGGGGAGTGAAAAATGGATCTGATAATGGTACCTGTATGACTTTAACCATATCTCAAAAATATTTGATTTCATCCTGGTTTATTCTAATTGTCTGTACTTGTTTGAATTCTTGTAGTTTTCTCCAAGGACCCGAAACCGATCCGGCCACTGTGAGGAAAATAAGAGAGGCAATTGATAACCAAACAGATGTAACTGTGCAGCTCATTAACTACACTAAAAGTGGTACATGTAGATTTCAGCTCCATTTTATTTTGTTTTGGGCCACATTTCTTTGCCAATATGAAGAACCTCAGCCTACACTTATGCTAATATAACTTTAAGGCCTTTATTTATGTATTTATTTGTTTAATCATCCAGGCAAAAAGTTCTGGAATCTGTTTCATCTTCAGCCTATGCGTGATCAAAAGGTACTTAGAATGCATTTTTAGAGTTCTATATACACAAGTCATTGTAGATTGGGAAGAATATCCGTCGTCAAAGATCTTATATATACTGTTTGATTGTGAAAACAGGGAGAAGTGCAGTATTTCATTGGGGTTCAACTAGATGGAAGTGAACATGTTGAGCCACTTCATAACTGTATTCCTGAGGCTACAGCAAAAGAAAGTGCAAAACTGGTCTCGACTCTCCTTACATGCCTCGCTAATTCCTCTTGTAATCTGGAATTCCTTTCTTTGCTATACCAGTGGTTTGTTTATTTTACAATACATTCATTGTTGTCCCTCTCAGGTGAAAGAAACTGCAGAAAATGTTGATGAAGCAGTAAGAGAACTTCCAGATGCCAATCAGGTAATGTCCAAATTTTTAGAATACTGAAACAACTTCAGACTAGATTAAGTTCAGATTTAATAAAAACGCTTGACCAACATGCAGAAACCAGAGGATTTGTGGATGAACCATTCAAAGTTGGTTCACCCAAAGCCCCATAGGAAGGACAGCCCAACTTGGAGAGCTATTCAAAAGGTATGATACTTGGATGTATGTATGAATGACAACATTTTGGCTGATGTTTCTGATTTATTTCGATTGTGTATTTTTTTATCTTGAAGAAAAATATGCTGGTCAGGTTATTAGGAAAAGAGAATTATAGTTTAGAATTGACATGCAATGTTTATTACTGTTCTGTTCAAATACATAAAAGAAACTTGGACACTACTTAAGAACGAGACACAGTACTGAGACTTATTGGACACCATTGGCATGTGTCTAGCTTATTTGACGTTATTTAGAAGTAGATTTCGCAAATACTATGTAGTTAAAAGACATTTTATGGCATTCCCAAAATGTAGCAGACAATGAGGCTTTCTCTAAGCAGATAAGGAAATTTATAACTTTGACTTTTATTTAAAGAACTCTTATCTTTTGAGTATGAACATGCATATGTACTTCTATGCATGCATAGACATCCATATATCCATACATACATGGAAAACAGGTATGGATTCATATACACATGAAGCATCCTAATATTGAGGAATTCAACTTGTTGGCATGTCCTTTTATAGTTTTCATCCCAAGTCTTCTCCTTATATAGTTGAACCCAATGTACTGTAAATGGTAATATAATTGGCTTCAACTCAATCTTTCCAAATGATTTTAGTCGTTTTCACGTAATGCTAATGATCATGACTGTATATTAACCTAGAATTAGTTGGTTTTGTGCCAAAACATCTGGAATGTTCAAACAATAATAATAATGTCTTTTGAAATAGGACGTCATATGTTCCTTGTTTGGTCCTGAATTTTGATTTGTTCTGCTGATTCACTTTCTTTTTTTCTCATGTCTGCTCATGTGGTCCACAATTTTCAGATTCTAGATGGTGGAGAACAGTTAGGGTTGAAGCATTTTAAACCAATTAAGCCTTTGGGATCTGGTGATACTGGCAGGTTTGTTAGTTATTCATTTATTATTCTTTAGTTGTGGAAGGTATTATGCGCTTACCGATTGCCAACGGGGATGTGTTCGGACATCACGTGATTAGTTCAACTTGTGCACCGAGAACAGCTGGCTGATATGTGAATTGACATTGATTATCTTATAACAATTTTGGGATTTTATTGCATGAAATAGTAGTATAACTCTGCTACAACCACCTCAAATAAACATCTGTTTTGTTCTTGAACATACATTGACTGATGGGATCAAACTCATCAAAGTTGGCACACAACGTTATTTGCTGTCCATATGCTTCCCAGTCAAGCACAGTCAAGTACTTTCAGAAGGTTCTACCATGATTGCATTTGAGTAACAACTTGTACAATCTTTTCTCATTTTCATAACTAGTAGTTCTTCAAAATTTTTCCAGTCACTAAATGGCATTGTTTGCATAAAATGGCTGATTTTACTGAATATATTCATCTGATGTTGGAATAACCGATGCATCTCTCCATCTGAACTTGATGCAAACCAGCTGAAAATTATGGTTGATCATCCTGGATTTCTCTATTGTCTTTATTTTCAAAGGAGTTTCACTTGTTTTAGGGGTTATAGCCAAGTTCTTCTTCCATTTTTGTGTTCCTGAATCGAACTTCTACTTGTTGCTGGTATGACAGTGTGCATTTAGTGGAGTTGTGTGGAACTGGACAACACTTTGCCATGAAAGCAATGGATAAGGGAATAATGCTCAACCGCAACAAGGTACCAAATTGGAAGTGGCTAGACATGCTTTTGACAGTTCCTGTAGTATTCCATGGCAATATGAGCATCCACACTATTATTGCCTTTAAGTGAACATTTTATCACTTAAATATTATTCATACAAACTTTGAATCATCAAATTCTACCTTAATCCTTTGTGCACAAATGATGGAATGACCCACTGATGTTTCAAGCCACTAATGTTTCTAAATAAAATTGCTGGCACAGAAGTGGAATGATAGATCATGCACCAAGGCCATGAACGTTCTCTCTCTCTCTCTCTCATGTGTTTCACCATCCTCAAAAGCTAGGGAGAAGTGAAAGATTGGTACAGCCGGAATATAGTTTATTAACATCATTTCTCTGTTATAGGTGTCAATTTCATGCAGTTTGTACTAATTTACTATTGGTGCTCCTCTATGAAGTACGGATACTTCATTGAGGTCGGCGTATCCATATCGGATACGATACTCATTAGATACTCGATGATACATATCGGATACACCTCTTACGTATCTGATAATAATTAAATATTAAGATACTTCACGGATATTTTTGTGTTCAAGTAACATATAATTTTTGAGTTTAATTTTTAACATTTCTTTTCGAATTCACATACCATACAATACATTAACAAAAATTCATACTATTTCAAAGATACATGAGTATTTTTTAAGTATTATCTACAATTACATGTCAAAAGAGCATAAAATAAATCCATTTCATTATAGTATAAGCAAAAATTACTTCTAAATAAACCGACTTGATAAATATTAGTTTTGATTCCTTTAATTAATCACTTCACTTTGTGAATATACCATAGTGATACGATACATATTTTCTTGAAACTAAAAAGAATTACTAATTTTCCTTATTATGTTAAAGAATTATCAAAATATATAGGTATTAAGTTGGTTAAAAATATTAAATATATTTTATTATAGCCGTATTTTGGCCGTACTCATATCCTATTTTTTTAGATTTTGTTGTATCACCGTATCCAAATCGTATCGCACCCGTATCCCATATCCATATCCATGGTGCTCCTATATTTCCTTTGACTGGATTTCTTTCCTTCCTTTGCTGCAGGTGCATAGAGCTTGTGCAGAAAGAGAAATCCTGGATATGTTGGACCACCCTTTTCTTCCAGCTTTATATGCATCGTTTCAGGTAAGGCTAATAATCCACATAAATTTGCATAATGTTGAATGGGGACTGCATGTGTGTGGAACAATTAGTTGGGCTCTCTTAGAGTCCCAATACCTCCTACTTAGAGAATAATGTGGAAAATGAGTGTATTGCTCCGAGGAGAAGAAACTGACTGTTCAAAGATCTAATCCTTCTGCAAGGATGTGCACAAATAAGAATTTAAATATAAAACTAACTTGCTTGCAAGACTCTGTGACAAATAATGTCACCATATTAAGAAGATTCATCTGAGTATTGTTTTTTTTTCTCTTCTGAATGTTTTGCACTTTCTATTCCCTTCAAACTCAAAATAAGTCATCCAATAATTTTTGGACTTCCATTTATAATATTTCTCTCCATTTACATGGACTTTCTGGAATATTAATCTGTCAATTACTTTGCAGACCAAAACAACCATTTGTCTTATACCTTGAAGACTTGCA